GCCATAGTTCACTCTTTTCTCCTTCACATATTCAACTGGGCTAACTTGCTGTTCCTTCGTCTGGGTCTGTGCTATCTCTGCATTGCCTCTTGGTGTTCTCAGAGTTAATTTCTCCAAGCTGAAAACTCCCTCCCTGCTCATCCTTGCCAATGAAAATCCTTCTCTTCAAGTCCAGCTCAGGGCCCACTTCTTCCATGAAAGTTTCCATGATTTCCACAGTGGAAGTATTCTCTCTACTCAGACATTCTTTTGCCAGCTCTTGGAATCTCTCCTTTATTTTTATCTCATTCTATCCCACATCATGGGCAGCTGGTGGCACAGTGGATAGAGTGCCAGCCCTGGAGTCAGGAAGACCTGAATCCAAATCCAGCCTTAGACATTTATTAGCTGTGTGACCATGGACAAGCCGTTTAAGACTGTTGTCCCAGTTTCCTCATCTGTAAAACGAACTGGAGAAAGAAATGGCAAAACATTCCAATATCTCTGCCAAGAAAACCCCAAATGGAGTCATGGAGAGTCAGACATGACTGAAATGACTTAACAGCAACCACAATCCCACATCATGTTTCTTTATGTGTGTGTTATGGCCCCTCCATTAGATTGTAAGTTCCTTGAGGCTGGGGACCATGTTTTTCATCCTTATAGTCCTAGAACCTGGCCCAGTTTCTTGCACATGTTAGACACTTAGTAGACTTGTAGAATCTAAGAGATAGAATGAACTTTTGAGGTTATATGTGAGAGATTAGCCTATACCTTGATAATAATAGTTAGCATTTATGCACACTTTAAGGTTTGCAGAGCACTTTCTAGATGGTATTGCATTTGAACCTCATAACAACCCTGGGAGATAGATGTTATTATTGTACCTATTTTACAGATGAGGAAACTGAGGTCAATAAAGGGCAAGTGACTTGGCCAGGGTGAAACAGCACAGACGGTAAGTGTCTTGAGACAAGACTTGACCTCAGTTCTTCGTGCCTGCCAATACAACCCCCTATCCACTATTCCAACCAGAGTAGGCATCCTTTCTACACCATCTCTGAGTTCCTCCACTTAAAGAGCTCCAGGAAAAGGGAATTCATGAACTCCAGAAGCAGCCCATTCCACCTGGGGATAGCTCTAATTTTTTTTCAATAATTAATTTATTTATTTTTAGTTTTCAATATTCACTTCTGTAAGATTTTGAGTTTTAAATTTTCTCCCCCTCCTTTTTCTTTCCCCTCCCCAAAACGGTATGCAATGTGATATACGCTCTACATTCATATTAAACATATTTTCACATTAGTCATGATGTAAAGGAGAATTAGAACTAGTGGGAGGAACCATGAGAAAGAAGAAACAAAACAAAACAAAACAAGGAAAGAAAAGGAGAGCAAAGAGTATGCTTCCATCTGCATTCAGACTCCATGGTTCTTTCTCTGGATGTGGATAGCATTGTCTATCGTGAGTCTTTTGGAGGATAGCTCTAATTCTTAGGAAGCTTTCTTATAGCAAGCTGAATTCTGCCTCTCTACAACTTCTCCTGTTTGCTGCTAGATCTGTCCTCTGGTACCGGTTAGAACAAGTGCAATCACTCTTGCACAGGACAACCTATCACACACTGGAAGATGAGTGTCACGTCTCCTCTAAGTCTTCTCATTGTTAATCAACCCACGTTCCTTCAAACAGTCTTCATGTGACATGGTTTCCAGTACCCTCCCATCTTGGTTGTCATCTTATAGATAAGCTCTATTTCATCAATGTCTTTCCTAAAAACGTGATGCCTACAACATTCCCTCCCAATGTGGTTTGACTAGGACTGAGTACCAAGATACTATCAGCTATCTCCCTTCTTCTAGACTATATGCCTCTCTTAACATTACCTGGGGGGCAACTAGGTGGCACAGTGGATAGAGCATTGGCCCTGGATTCAGGAGGACCTGAGTTCAAATTTGGCCTGAGACACATAACACTTACTAGCTGTGTGACCTTCGGCAAGTCACTTAACCCCATTGCCTAGTCCCCCCAAAAAATAAAAAGAAAACACTACCTGGGAGAGAATTAGTTTGTTGACTGCCATGTTGTGCTATTGACTCACATGGAGTCCACTAAGACTCCCAGATCCTTTTCACAAGAATCCTTTCTTGTCTAGCCATGTCTTTCCTATCCTGAATTTTGGCTCAAGCAGAGAAATTTATGCTCTCGCTGCTGAACGTCACCACAATAGAATCAGTCCATCATTTTCACTTGCTGAGATCTTTTTGGATATCTTTCATCCGCCGTGTTAGCCAGCTGTCCCTCCCAGCTTTGTGTCTCACACAAATCTTCCAAGCATGTTGTCTATATCTTATCTAAGTCATTGATTAAAATGTCAAACAACGCAGGACCATAGACTGATCCCCAGGGCACTGCGCTAGAGAATTTCCTCCAAGTTGATATCAGCACATTAAAGGCTGACTTCTCTTTCGAGTCTTTGGAATCTATTTAGTTGAACCAGCATCAAGATAACTTTTCTCCATCTCATTCGTAAGGCTGGCACAAGAGACTTTGTCAGATGCCTTGCTGGAAGCATTTCCTTGATCTGTCCACCATTTCTCCTAAAAGGGGAAATGAGGTTAGTCTAGCATGACCTGTGCTCATCCAAAGCGTTTGGATTGAATGGTGCTCAATAGTTGTCTTTGAATATTTGAAGGGCTGGCATGCAGAAGTGTTAGCCTTGTTCCGCTTGGCTCTAGAGGACAGCCAGCCCCAGAAGCATTGAGGGGAAATGGCAGAGGCCATTCTAGGCTTGATGTTAGGGAAAACTTCCTAACCAAGAAAGTGATCCAAAAGTGGAATAGGCTGTCGTGGGAGGAAGTGAGCTCTCCGTCATCAGAGGTATTTGAGCAAAGGCTGAATGACCACTTGTCAAGTCCGTTGTAGAGAGGATTCTTTTTCAGTTTGGAGATGGAGTAGATGTTCTCTGAGGTCCTTTCTAACTCCGAAATGCGTCAATTATACAAAGTTAACAGGGAGGCAGATTTCATCTTTATATGAGGGAAGGGCTTAGTAACAAATGTAGCTTCCCAATGATCCAAAAGGCTGCAGTTGTGAAGGAGTGAGGTCCCTGTTCCTGAGTGTTTCCACAGAGGTTTGATGGCTCCCTGTTGGGGAAACCTCAAAAGGGATTCCAGAAAGGAGTTAGACTAGATCAAGGGTGGGGACCTCATGTGGCCTTCTAGGTCCTCAAGTGCAGCCCTTTGACGGAATCCAAATCTCAAAGAACAAATCCCTTTACTAAAGGGTTTGTTCTGTAAAACTTAGACTCAGTCAGAAGGCCACACCCGAGGACCTAGAAGGTCACATGTGGTCTCGAAGCCTGAGGTTCCCCACCCCTGGACTAGATGAACCCTCCAATTCCCTTTTAGTTTTATGTTAATAGGTAATGGGAGAACTAGAAAATGTACCCTTAGAAAAATCAACAGAAATAGAATTGTGTTGGTCAAAGCCAGTGGGAAAAACCTTACTCCTTTTTTTTATTGTCATTGCTGATCTCTCATGAGGTTTCCCTTTGGGACACAAACCAGCCAGTGATGCTCCCCAGCCATCTGCTTCTTAGAAGTTATTGCATCCTTATTTGGGGATTAGATTTTCAGTTCTAAAGAGAGTTCGTGTGTCTTACATCTCACGTTTTGTAAAGAACAGTTTGCTGGTCAGTGAAAAATAATGGGAAAGGGGAGGTACAGGGAGATGCCTAAAGGTTTCTCTTTTTACCAATTTGCCCTCCACAGGCTATTCGCTAGAGAGCAGATCTTTTACACAATGGAATTCATTGTGTGTTCCCTGGCACAGATACCTACCCCTGTCGCTGAACTGGGCTCCTTGTGGGAACAGCCTCTGGATTTAACTCATTCTCCCCCAAAAAGGAACTTGAAAATTACAACTGAACTGCATTTGGAGCAGGCAGCAAACAATTCCTCTGTGCTTTATGCCATAGATGTGCCACTGAAAAGCTACCAAGCAATTGGAGTTTTTGTAAAATGAATCTTAAATGCACTTGGAGAAGGAAGGTGTTGGGGGCGCGGCAGCAATTGCCTTACAGACTCTGCTAGGAATCCTTGCGCAAAATTGATCAACAAGCATTTATTAAGTGCCATTCACTGTACTAGGTGCTGGGATAGAAAGACAAAGAATGAAATAATCCCTACTCTCTAGGAGCTTACAAGCTAATGGAGAATTAGCTTAGCAAGTAGTGTTGCTTTCCACCCTCTTGGGTGGAAAGGGTTTATCTGCTTTGCAGGGACTGGTTTTTATAGCTCAGTCCTTTTAAAAATTTTATTTTTATTCTCAACAAACGGGCATTTGGGTATGCATAATAGAACAGGAGAGGATTATACATGAAACTGCCAGTCTCTATTATTCACATCTTGCTTTTCTTTTTAAATATATAATCAGATTAACCTATATAGCTTAATTCTTTTTGATTAATTGTTTTTCATAAGCAAAAATTCACTTTATCTCTCTCACACTCCTCTTATTGAAAAACAAATAGAAAAACAAAACCCTTGTGACAAATACACATAGTCAATCAAAACAAATTTCATCAATAACCATGTCCAAAAATGTCTGTCTCTTCCTGCATCTTGAGTCTACACCACTCTGGAAGAAGGTGGACAGCATGTTTCATGCTGATCCTCTGGAATTATGGTTGATCATGGAGTTGAGCAGAGTTCTTTAAATCTTCCGAAAGGATTAATTTATAAAATAATATTTTAATCATATAAATTGTTCTCCTGCTTCCGCTTCCTTCACTCTGCGTCAGTTCATACAAATCTTCTGAGGTTTCTCTGAACCCATCCCCTTCATCATTTCTTATAGCACAAGAGTATTCCATCGCATTCCTATGCTGGAACTTCTTCAGTCTTTCCCCAATTGATGAGCACCACCTTAGTTTCCGCTTCTTTTCTTATGAAAAGCAACTCAGTTCTTAAAGGGAGGCTCTTGGCATGGAATTGATTTCAGTTTCTTTCCTTTTTCTTCAGAACTGGTCAGGAATGGAGTGTCAGTTCAAGCTGCTGAGGATGGCCGTGGCCTTGATCTGTAGTAAGTGTCCATTTGCCTAACCCCTTAAAGTTTGCAAAATGCTTTATACCCAGTATCTCATTGTAACCTCATAGCAACCCTGTGAGGTAAAGGACTCCAATTTTTAATCCCTATTTTTTTTTCAGTTATGTAGTTTATTTTTAAATTTTTTTTATTTTTTTTTGTTTTTAGTTTTCAACTTTCACTTCTATAAGATTTTGAGTTCTAAGTTTGCTCCCCCTCCCCAAGATGGCATACAACCTGATATAGGCTACACATGTACAAACAATCGTTTTTAATCCCCATTTTACAGATAAGGAAATTGAGATGTGAAGTGACTTGCCCATGGTCACACATTTAATGATCTTCAGAGGTGGAATTCAAACTCAGGTCAAGAGAATTTCCCAGGATTCCTCTTTGCCTCCTACATGGGGACGCAGAGAAGGAGGCATGACCATAGTAGCCCAGACTGGACTGAGTAGGCACTGACAGTGAATGGGGCAGCCTCATTCTTCTTGGTTGAAAGAGAAGTCTGCATAAGGAAGAAGGTCAGCAGGAGGGCTCTGCCTTTACCCCCTGCACCATACTTCCAATCTACCTTAGGAGTTAACTTGGAATAGCTGCCCAACCCTGCACAGAAATTAATTTAAGGAACATTTATTAAGTACCTACTGTGTGTGCTGCACTGTGCTGGGCACTGAACATGAATTTTTTTGGGGGGGGGGGTAGGGATAAAACCTATTATTTCATCAGTGTGGCCTCAGAAAGACATAGGTTAAAGTACTGCTTCTGACACATAATGACTTACCCAGCAACCCTGGACAGGTCACTGAAATTTTCAGTGTCCCTAAGCCCTAATGTGATTCTGTGATTTTAAGAAGTATGCATCATTAGGCAATGTTTTTGGTCTTCTTTTGGCCTCAGTTTCCCTATGTGTACAATGAGGAGGGTTGGAAGAGATGATTTCTAAGGTCTTCCCCAATTGAAAGATTACCATAGAGCTTTTAATAAGAGATGGGTAGGCTTAGAATCCTAGCTCAGGGCTGAGATCCCACAGTCTTGGGGAAAGCTAGAGAGCTGGGACTTGTTTCAGCATCTATAGCCAGATAAGAAATCTGTTTCCCTAGGGGCACCAGATTAAAAAATAACAACAAAACGAGTTTATATGCACTAATACCTTTTCTCTTTTTCCATTGAGAGGAGGGAAGGAAGCAATCTGTGTAAGCCCTGATTTCTTTCTTTAAAAAACAAAAGTGCCCAGTCCTGAGACTCATAAAAGAGCCAGTGATGTTTGGGGGTAAGACATTGTCACATTAGACCTCTTTGTGCCTCAGGGTACCCTGGGAAATGGGCAGCTTAGGGTGCAGAGCACTGCTGAAATTGATGGTTGTTGTGCTGCCATCTAGAGGTGACATTTAGAGTTACAGGATAAGAGACTGGAGAAGGGACAAATTGAGAAATCCATTAGAGCAATGGGCTCCAAGTCGAACAGAAACAAGGGCTGCTAATCCATACATAAAGATCCCCGTGGGCTTGGTTTTCAAATTTAATGTTATCTATGTTTTATTATTTTTTATTATTTTGCTAAATCTTTCCCAATTACATTTTAATCGGTTCAGGATGCACTAGTATTGTTGCTGCTGTGTTTGACCGCTCTGAGCAGGGTCTCTGTGCAGTTCTGCTTAAATTAAATAAACAAACCGTCATCACCATCATTATGCCCATCATAGGGATTTCTTCTAAGTCGAAAGTATCAGAAATATAGGTTACACATTAAAAGGTGAATGTCCATTTTAGAGATAGGAAAACTGAGAACCAGGTAGATAAAGAGACTCATCATGGTGGCCCATAGCATAACCTCAGAGGTATGAGGCCTAGGGTCCTGTTCTCCTGACCAGTGGGAACTGGGATGGATTTAGAGACAAAAGAACCCACCTAAGACCGGTCGTGTGACCCTGGGCAACTCACTTAACCGGTCCTTGCAAAATGGGGCCCCCTAGGATCTGTTCCAACTTTAATTCTATGACTCTATGAGTGCTGGCTCCACCACTTACTACCAGTGTGACCTTGGTCAAGTCACTTATCTTTTCTAGGCCTCAGTTTCCAGATCTGTAAAATGAGGGAGACAGACTCGATGACCTTTGATGAAGGGAGACAGACTCCCTTCCAGCTTTTCTCTTCCATGACCTTGCTCTGTCCCATCACCCACCTGGCCCCCTCTCTGTTTCTCCCACCCCTTGCAGTGAGCATGGAGTTTGGCAGGGCCGTCTGGCTGCGCTTCCACCCATCAGCGTACCCCCCATGCCCACACCCTAGCTTCGTGGCCCACCTGGGTGGTGTGGCAGTGGGCATCACCCTGGGCGTGGTGGTCTTAAGGAACTATGAGCAGAGACTCCAGGATCAGTCGCTGTGGTGGATCTTCGTGGCCATATATACAGTCTTCGTGTTGTTTGCAGTCTTCTGGAATGTCTTTGCCTACAGCTTATTGGACCTCCGGCTGCCCCCTCCTCCATGAAGAGCCCCCTCGAGATGCTGCTGATGGAGATCAAACTCTTGAGCATTTTCATTTTCATTTATTCTTCATCGCCAGCTTGGTTTAGAAAGGGAAGGAAGAAACGCGATGTTTGGTGGCTCTATTTTTGTATATGGGAATTGGAAGGGCTGCAAAGGAAAGTGCTAGCCAAAGATATTCATTGAAAGGCCATTATAAAGATGAAGAAGGCAATGTTAGTTCTTGCCAGAGCAGGCCCAGGGTTGGGAATTCTGGATGCAACTGGGGAGCCTGGGCTTGTTCCGGGTGAATTCAAGTTAACTTCTTACCCCTTCCCTAACCTAAAACTGAACAGTGCCCCCCCCTCCACCAAAATGTGATCCTAAGAGATGAGCAGAGGCCTAGCTCTTGAAATGACATAGCTGGCCCAGTGTCTAATACTGCTAAAACCTGGAGAGGACAGCGGAATAAGGACACTTCCTCTGTAAAGTAGCTGGACTAGAGCTGAATGAACAGCCAGTAGGGGAGGTCATCCAGCCTTCCTACAATGGATAGAGCAATGGACTTGCAGTTGGGAAGACCTGGATTCTAATCTATGTGACCCTGGGCAAGTCATTTACTTTCCCTGAGCCTCAGTTTCCTCTCTTGTAAAATGAGGGGGTTGGACTCAGTGGCTTCCAGGGTCCCTTCTAGCTCTAATTCTTTGCTTCTATAATCCTGTGGGTATAATTGACAAGGTGGGATTCTCCACTCAGAGTAGAGGGTTGTCCCCATACGAGCAGGGTGTGTGTGTTATTTTCCTCTAAGATCTCAATTCAGAAGGGTGGAAGGAGGCCAGTACCTGCCTGCCCAGGATGAATTAGAGTCTTAGCCCAGCCCTCCCTCCACCCACTAATTGCCCCATTCCTGGTGAGCCTGTTCCTATCCGGAAAGAAGCCTAGACTAGGAAATAAACGCAGGGTACCTTGGATGTTGCTTGGCACCAACCCTCCCAATGCACAATCTCATACACCTCTCTGGTCATACCACCCCAATCCCTGGGTTTTGCTGCTTGGTTTCCCTCTATTTGACATTTTGCCCTAATGTCCTGGCTCCTTTTTTACCTAAACTTTATTCCTAGGGTCTTCTCCGTACCCTGCCCAGCTCTACCACCACCCTGTACCTCCCATTCCATCCATGAACACAAGAATTTGTTTGGGATGTTGCCTATTGGGAACAAAGAGTAGGTGATGACTGTTGGGCTTATCCTCTTAACAAAAGCTTCAGTGTTCTTCTATGGACCCTCCCACTGCATCCGTCCCCCTCCCTCTGGTGATCCTGCCAGATTTGTGAACCAGAGCAGAAACAATGACTTCACAGCCTTCCCTGGAGATCCTCTGAGCTGTGGGAAGAGTGGAGGGAGGGTGGGGGGAACAAGATGAAAAGCAGCTAGAATGGTGAAGAGCCTTGAGTCCATGCCATAGAGCACCAGCCCTGGAGTCAGGAAGACCTGAGTTCAAATCCAGCCTCAGACACTGAACTAGGTGTGTAACCCTGGGCAAGTCACTTAACCCTGTTTGCCTCAGTTTCCTCATCTGTAAAAATGAGCTGGAGAAAGAAATGGCAAACCACTCCAGTGCCCTTGTTTGGTTACGACTAAAACAACAACAAAACAAAATTGAAGGAATTGGGAACATTTAGTATGGATCGGGTAAGACATGAGAATGACATCATAGCTCTATCCAGGTATTTGAAGGGCTGTCACCTGGAAGAGGTCCTGGACATTCTGTTTGACTCCTGAAGACAGAGCTAGGGCAATAAGGGAAGTTACAAAGCAGGCAATTTGAAACTGAGGCCAGGAAAAACTTCCTAACCATTAGAATTGTTAAAAAAAAAAAAAATTAACAGTCACCTTGGAGGTGACGAGTTCCCACCTTAAGGTCTTTGAGCAGAGGCTGGAGGAGCATCTCTTGGGTATGTAAGAGTGGGTATTCTTTGAATCGGGTCAGGCTAGATCTCCCAGAGGACCTTTCCAATTCTGAAATGCCAGGGTTTTCTATGAATAGAGGAGACTTAGAGAGAGGAGGGGAGTTTCCCTTGGGTTTCCTTTTAGCAGAGTCCAGATTTTGAGATTCTACTTTTTAATTACCTCTGGAGATGTAGTAATTACCAAAAAAAAAAAAAAAAAGAGTTGTATTGTATTGTAGGTCCATTTGGGTGGGAACCTTGCCAGGAAATGGGAGACTAGGAGAAGAAAAACTGAGGCTTTGGGGTCAACTTTGGCATAATCCATGTCACCATGGAGATGAGACCCTCTCTCAGAGCCTCTCCCACAAGTGCCCATTTCAACATGTTACTGTCTGGGGCACTCTTGGATGGTTTCTGCTGGAGAGTCTCATCTCCATGGCAATGTAGGTCACACAGGCAAATCCTTTCTCCTGTGTCCCATCGTGCCATGGAGCTGTCCCTGTGGAACACAAGCTCTGATCAGCCCTACCAAGCCAAGAAGGCTTCAAGCATGGATCCAGCTGAGAATTGGTCTAGATGTGTTGGGAGAGGCATGTTAACCAGGTTCGCCACAGCATCTCCTCACACATGATGACTAACTAGTGCCCAGGGGAGGGAATATCCTCTCTGACAAAGTCCTACATCCTTGAAGTATTCAGTAGTCTTGGGAAACTAAGACCCCTATAGAAGTGAATTGGAAGATAAGAGGCTGCAATGGGAGGCATATTGGTTAGGTGGAAAGAAGGAGTTCTGGATATCTATTGAATACTGCAGTGAGACATGTTAGCATCTCATAGTAGAATCAGAGTATTAGCCCTAGAAAGGAGATCATTTAGCCCGACTCGGTCAGTTTACAAAGGAGGAAACCGAGACCCAGAGAGGTGAGGAATCAATCTCCATCTACCTGGGCAGAGATGGGTCCTATACCAGAGGGTTCATTTTGACTGTTCTTAGAAACTCCCATCCATCTGTTGGAGTTGGCCAGACAGCCAAGAGACAGCTTTGGAACAGTTCAGCCCCGAGGGGCTAAGCTTTTTGCTTCTTCAGAATGGCAGACGGCTGGATCTAGGGAGCAGCTTTTGGTTAGTCATGTGCCCAAACAGAATCCCTGGAGGTTGGCAGAGTAGCAGTTAGCTTTCTATGGCAGTTGGAGTTGGGTTGTCTGGAAGGGCATCTAGGTTTATCCCCATGACAATGGGTTTAAGGTGGGCTTCCAGGAGCTCAAGTCAGTGCTTTCCCTGGGGAAAAAAAAATCTGTAGTCTATACCACTGGGACACCAGGGAAACCCCTAGTTGCTTCCTGGGGGTGTACCATCCCCTTCCCAGGTAGCTTCTGCCCAGGACCAAAGTGGAATTCTCCCCCAACCTTTCCACCCTTGAGTCCTAACAAGCAGAGCAGCTATAGTCAGCTCTAAACCCTACACCAAAGTAGCCCATGGGCTGTGCCAAGGACACAGCTGAGTGCTACCTGCTTGCCTTTCTGCAGCAACCCGACACTGGGCTTCCAGATCTTTTGGCTGGACTGACTGATCTTAGCTGTGTAGATGAACACACACCCCTACCTCATTCCCCAGGGGTACTTTGGTTTTGCCCGAGCTGGTGCTCTCCCCTTTTGGGAAATAGGTACTTGGGTTAAAGTGATGGCGGAGGAGAGTTGAGATGGGTAACTCAGTGGCAGTGATGCTTATTGCTAAGGAGTATGGTTGGAGAGGGGAAGAGGAGCTCCTGAGATCTCTGTTCTACATCTCTTGGGTTTCATCCTCCATTTTGCCTGGGGAAGAGGGGCAGGAGCAGACAGAGCCAACAACTCGATCTTGCAAGAATACTGTCTGCATTAAGGGATTCTCCTAGCTGCTATGCTTGGGCAATCTTGCAAGTCTTCAACCCTAGAGCTGTGGGTGGGAAGGGAGAAATCTGACTGCTTGATCCCCTTAGTGAAAGATGGTGATGAGATGCTGAGAAGCACCTTGAGGCCAGTCCACTTTGCTCCAAACTTCAGCCCTGAGCTCATTCTCTAAAGGGGGATGGGGACTTGAGTGCGGAAAACACACACACACACACACACACACACACACACACACACACACACACCAGTCTGTTAACTCTACTTTCCCAGGAATGAGGAAATGTTGGCCACCCTTTCCCCCTGTGGTTCACACTCGTTACCTTCCTCAAATGCCTGATTCTACCCTCCTTGACCTCTCTGATGCCCACAATTGACTGCTGTTTGCTTTCTGGAGAAGGGTATCCTCACATGACATTGATTCCCTCACTCTCACCAAGCTGCCCTTTTATTGAACCAACCCTGCAGGTTGTCCATGAGACCTTGGAAGTTGAGTCACATGTGGGCAGAAGCTTAATCCCCCATCCTGCCTTCTCAGATCTCCACTGAGCATGTTGAACTCAGTGAACTGGGCAGCCTTGGGAATCCCTGCCAAGAGGAGAGGAGTAGTTGGCTGTATTCTGCCTTCCAGGTGTCCCAGGGCCACAAGAACACCAACCACTCTCATTTCAGGGTCAGTTGCCCATAGAAAGAGGGGTTTGCCAAGAACCTGCAGCACCTACTCTCTCCACCTCCTGTCACCTAGGTACCCCTAAAAGCCACTCATTCCTTAATCCCCCACTTATAACAGGCAGTCAACAACTCGTGTCTTTTTAATTTTTTCCCTATTCGTTCCCTTTCCCAGTGTAGTTACTCCAGTTAGTCTGATGTTGAAGCCAAGGGCTTGGGTTGGGAAAAGTGGGTAGGGAAGTGCTGAAACTGGTTTAAATCTTCAGTCTAGACTAGAACAAGGCCTAGGGGAAGACAGGGGCTGGTGTTTTGAGGGTCTTGTCTAATTTGAATTCAAAGGATACAAAAATGGCAGTGGGATTCCCATGTTAAATAGAAAAATAATCACAGTATTTGGAAGAGGGGGGAGAAGACCCTACAAAGGAGAAATGTGTTTTAAATGATGCGACTAATCATTTGGGGTTTTAATTGGGGAAAGCTCCTTAATGAGGCCTTTTTACAATGGCAGCAAGGCCTGGACAACCAACCATCAGCTGAGGGCACTTCCTCTGCTGGTGAGGACCTGCAGCTAGCTTTCCGTAAGAATTGTTAATACCTAGAGACAAATGGAAGTCATCATTCACCAAACCCAATACAGTTTCCTCTCGGCTCCGATTCAGTTTGCAAATAATGTTGATTCCTGGGGCCTGTGGATTTCTTCTATTTTGGATATCATCAGTGATGCTTCCCATGGTAACCAGAGCATCGATAACATTTCTGCCTTAAATAAAAGTGCCCAACAGACAATTCCCTTTTCCTCCAAGGGCTAGAGAAAGTTGATAGTTGAGAGGTAGCCCGAGTTGCAATGTTTGTTTCTAAATATTTTTGTATTGTGTACATTCTGTATATTTTTGTTGTAACAAATATTATTTGAGCACAGAATCCATTAAAGATTCTTTTGGGTAAAGCCATTGGTTATGGGAGGTGCCTCAATGAACTGGAACCTAGCTTTTCCTTCAGTCTGGGAGAAATCAGAAAGATTGTAGGTTTGTGACTTACAAATGACCAGTGGCTGGAGTTATTATTCTCAGAAGGATGTTTTTAATGCATAAAAAAATAAACAAGCTCACAGACCAGGCTAAGAACACTTACTTCTAGGTTAAGGTTCTTTTTATGTCTAGGCTGAAAGTGTCTCAGGAATCAGAGACCTGGCTTCAAATCCCATCTTTGACCCCCATACCTGTGTGACCTTGAACAAGCCGTATCATCTCTGTGGGTCTCAGTTTCCTCATCTGTGATGTTGGAAATGAGCTACACATGTTTGGGGGGGGGTGGGTAGAGGGGCCATGATATGTCTATAGCAGAGGGACAAAGTAGAAAAGCCAAGATAAACACCCCCAAGAAAACTGTACCAGAGGAACACATACAAAAGGTCAGACCCCTGACCTGGAGACTGGGGCCTGCCGGGGATTAGGGTGTCCCCAAACCAGAGATATATAGACTTTGAGGACAACTGTTTAAAATGGGGCACAGGCTTCAAAAGGTGGCTCTTAAGGGGAATTCTTTCTTTTTCCTAGATTAGGGAGTCCTTAACCTTTTTTGTTCTATGGACCCTTTTTGAAATTGGATGAAACTTATAGACCCCTTCTCAGAAGAATGTTTTTAAATGTATAAAATAAAACACATAGGATCACAAAGAAAATTAATTATATTGAAATCGTTGGCAAAGTATTTTTTAAAAACAAGCCCAGGATCCCTGGGTTTGGGACCCTTGCTTTAGATTTTTAGCTAAGGGATGTTTACTTTGCTGTTTTTCTTCCCCTGCTCCAGCAAATCCAGGCTGCGAAACTGTTTCACACTATAAATCTCTGGGCTTTGTTTTTTAATGTCTCAGAGGGTTTCCCAGAATTGCTCTGGGAGGCGAGCCCAGGCCCGAGGACCAAGATGACAGTTCTCTTTTGAGAGTGTCCAAGGCTTGTTAGAGGAAAAAGGGGAGGGCAGGGAAAAGGGAATGGGAAGGAGGCCAAGTTCATCACTGTCTCCCATTCAGCCTTCCTATGATTTAGGGCAGGAGCGACAAATCGGGGGCTCACCCCCAGCAGCACTGGAAAAGAGCTGGGGGAGGATAATAATAGCTAGCATTTATATAGCATGTTAAGGTTTGCAAAGCATTTTGCAAATACTACCTCATTTGATCTTCACAAGAACCCTGGGGGGTAAGTCCTATTATCATCCCCATTTCACAGAAGAAGAAACTGAGGCAGACAGAGGCTAAGCAGCTTGCCCAGGTTCCCACCAGCAGGATTTTAAGGTCCAGCCTTCTGCCTTAGTTTGGTGAAGGGTTTGGGTTCTGGAGCAGTCACTGCTCTTCTCCTCAAAGAGGAAAAACCATTATCCCTTCCCCATTTCCTCCTTCCTCCCTTCTCTTCTTTCTCCCCTGAGAGAGCTGGCCTGGGAGTCAGAAAGACTTAGGTTCAAGCACTGCCTCTGATACACACAGGCTGTTACTCGAAGTGAATCACTCAACCTCTCAGGGCCCTAAACAACTTGCTGGTTTTATTCCTCATTGGTGTCTCATCAGAAATTCCAACTTGCTCACCATTAATTCTAGCGTTGTAGGTCAGCTGGCTTATTTGTAAGACTTGGCCTTTCTAGGCCTAGTACCTCAGCTTCCAACCTCGTCACTCACCTGCTCCCTCCCAAGCTTACCAAAGATGCCTGATGGCCAAGTCCAATGGCCTTTTCTCAGTCCTAATCCTTCTTGACTTCTCTGTAGCATCTGACTACCCTTTCCTCCTAACCACTCCCCTTCCTCGGGTTTTCAGGACACTGCTCCCAGCTGGTGCTCCTCCTACCTCTTTGAATACTCTTTCTGTCCCCTTTACTGAATTGCTATCCATGTTCCAGCCTCTGTGTGTACATACACCCCAGGATGCCTCCGTAGTGTACATGCCCTTCTTTTCTTCTCTGTCTGTTCTCTCTCTCTGGTGTTATTAGCTAGTCAGTCAATTAGCATTTATTAAGCCCCCTACTATGTGCCAGGCACTATCAGCTTCTATAGGTTCAATTGTCACCTATATGCTGACGACTTCCTAGTCTATATATCCAGCCCTAGCTTGTCTCTTGAATTCCACACCTGTACCACCAACTAATCTCAATCTCTAACTGGATGCCCCCCAAGCATCTCCAACTCAACACGACCAGTATCTGTCCCCCTAAACCCTATTTCCCAAACTTATTTCTCAACCTTCTAGTCACCCAGATTCAAAGCTTTTGAGTCGTCCTTGACTCCTCTCTTCCTCACTCCCCCCATCTCACTGGTTGTTAAGCCTTGTCAATTCTGCCTCCATACTTCTCAACTCTGTCCCCTTCTCTCTACAGACTGAGTCACCATCCTCGCTCAAACCCTCATTACCTCTCATTTGGACTAACATAAGTTTCTTAATAACCTCTCTGCTTCCAATCTCTCCCCTCTCCAATAAAACCTCCATGAAGTTGCCATGCTCATACTCCTAACACATAGGTCTAACCTCTGCCACTCCCTTACTCGAGGAGCTCCAGTGGCTTACCCTAGCTCTTAAGATAAAATACAACCTCCTCTGTTGGGCTCTTAAAGCCCTCCAAAATCTGGCTCCAACCTACCCTTCCCAAGGTTATTGTGAAGATCAAATGAGCTAACATTTGTAAAGTGCCTAGCATGGTGCTTAGTACATGGGAAGTATTCAGTCAATGATTGTTGCATGACAACAGGCAACATTCTATGACTTTCATCTTGTTTTCCAAAGAAAGACATTAGAGAGAAAAGCTGTATTTGGGCATTTGCACCCCAGTGTTATCCTATCCAGGAAGCATGTAAGAAGGTAATCATGTGACTTAATGTGTGGGTTATGTTAACCTCCCAGTGGAAAGATTCCTTTAAAGAAAATGGAATTTCCACTCATCAATAAGACAAAAGACTGGGGAAATATTGTCTTGAGAACTGAAATGTTTCTCAAGAAAATCGTGGGCTTCCCTGTCATCTAGTGCAAGGTGTATTTACTCCTACAGGCATCATTTGGTGGTTAAAATGGATGAAGGGGAGGAAAATGGAGGGAAGGGAAAGGAAGTGACCTAGGCTTCTGAGGTCTCACTTTCTGGATGGTGAATAAGGAAGTCGTCCTTACCCCTCCCATCCCATTTGTCTACCAAGAAGGAAGAGAAAGTTCAGAACTGCTACACAGAAGGATAACCTTTATTTTAATGGCAATAAAAACTCCCCATGATTAAAATTTTTGAGAATCCATTTAATTTTTAAGACTACCATAATGAAAAGCTAAGTTCAGGTGGGGGTAGATAGGTTTGGACATATGATTGTATTGTTCCGAGTAACTCAGCACAATGAAACTTCCTGTACAAAAACAGATAGGCACCTTCTCTAAAACTTGGTCTGGGGCACTGAGAGGTTAGGCAATCTGCCCAGGACCACAGCCAACACGTGTGAGGGGTAGGATGCGAACGTAGTCTTTTTTTAACGGAGGCGACCCTGATGAAATCACAGGTCTGATTCCTAACCCCCCCCAAAAAAAACCAAACACCTTCAATGTATAGCAAAGTGAAGTGTACATAGTAGGTGTTTAATAAATGTTTCTTAGATGAATTTCTGTGCCTTAGAGGAGAAAAAGGGGGGAACACTGCCAGTCATTCTGAAAGGGCAGATCACTGGTGTAACTCAGCACTTAATAGGAATTTAAAGAAATCTGAGATGATTCCTCAGCTTAAAGGCCTTCAGGACTTCTCTACATCCCCAGGGCAGTAAAAATACAAGATTTATGTTTCCTATTACAAGGTTATAGAATCTCCTCTAAGTCTAGGGAAAGCAGGAATCAGCATAAAGGCAGGGGTCTGGGCACAGCCTTCCAAACCCACTATTCTATGATTGACAAGACTAAATAATAATGATCAAATATGGGGTTTATTTAAATAGCTATAGACAAGGAAAACCACTGCTACATCTGGGTAGCTGCAATCTGTTTCCGTGGAAAGAAGATATCCAATTATCTCGAGAGCAGACTTTCCATTGATTTGGTGCAAAACGATTTGAGGATAAGAATGAAAGTATAGAAATCAAAAACCAATGCCCGAGTCTGAGTGTAGTGAAGAATCTTTGTTGAGTTTCTGAGGTTATGTGCTGCCAATAGAATGCCTTGGTTTTTCTTTTCCCCCATCCCTAATTACTCAAAGGACAAACAACCAGCCAACCAACCAGTAGAGCGTTTGAAGCTTTATGAAAAAAAGAGCAGTACACTCTTTAAAGGGTTAGTTCAATTCATTTTTGTGGCTGTCCTAGAAACCAACTAATGTTTTCCTTTCGAGTTGGCTCATCTACTCTACAAGCTCATTTTACAATTTGTTACAAATTCAAGTTTTATTTGCACATCAGCACCAGGGCTGACCATATTGACGCTGCCATTATCCAACAGAATACATCAGGCACCCACAGAGTGCAAAGCTTTTAAGACATGGGCTGTGTTCTAGACCTGTCTTTGCAATGCTTTTGTGAAGAGAGTCTGCCCCAAGTCTCGAATTGTATCTTCTCCAAATAGCTACAAAATGCTAAATCCAATGGTGATTGAGAAAGAATCATGATGATTTTCTGCCAGGGAAAATGACTTAACAGTGTTTTTAAACAAAGGAATGGACTAAAGAGAGAGGTTACAGAATTTCTTTCTGTGAGCCTAGAAAAATAGGATTGCCCACACAAAGACAGAGGGCTAGAGAGATAAGTAGCCTCCAGTTTTCAACCCCAAGATTCTATGATTGATGAGGTTAAAAGCTGACAAAGAGAGTAACTATGTACTTGCACACTTTTATCCCTAAGACTCAAAGGAAAATGTTTCCACTGGTTTTTACATAATTTAAACCACCAAAAGACTGCAACCTAGAATTAGTCTGAAATCACCTAATGCTTTTGGACAGCATAACCCATTACGACAATGACAAATTGGTTCCAATGGATCACGAGAGTATGACTGCACAATACTATGTTGCAGCAATTTCAGAGTACATAAAAACAAATGATTAAGAAGTCTAGGCTGAAGCTTCTTCTCTCATGAACTCTTCAAGGGCCAGGATCACATTTTTGGCTTCTGGCATTTCTTCATGCTCCACTTTCACTATCTTCAGTAGGATATCTCCACTGCCACAGTTCTTCAGAAATAAGTAACATTTAAACAGGGCATAATGATTCATTTCTGCCTGGCGAATAAACCTCTTCAGGTTGTTTGTGTCTTGGATAGCCTAGAAAAGAGGGACGAGTTAAAGGTATGTAGTTTTCGTCTTTGTAAAGGGTGGGGAATTAATAACAAGTTCTAAATAATGCTTAAGTATCATCTGAAATGCATTGAGCTAGGAAATATGGCAAAAGATGGAAGAAAGTCATTGTTGGAGGGGTTATGGGAAGACAGGCGCGTTAATTTACTGCCGGTGGAACAGTCAATTGATTCAACCATCTGGAAAACAATTTGGACTTACTCAAGAAAAGTCATTAAACTGTTCATACTTTGAACAGATCATAACAGTAGGTTCCTTATAGAAGTAATATAGGAGACAAATTTATAGGCACAGAATCAGAGCTCTTACTACTGGGACTACACCCCAAGGAGATTATTGACAGCAAGTAAAGACCCATTGTACAAAAATAATCATAGCAACCTTATTTATGATCAGGAAAATCTTGAAACAAAACATGGGCCTGATTGACTGTGGAATGGCTGAACAAATTACAGTAAATGGAAAAATATAAAAGTACTATACCAAGAGGAAAGTTAAATATGAAGAATTTAGAGAAACAAAGAAAGATTTACATGAGGTAATGCAGAACAAGGAGAGCAAAGCAAAAACAAACAAACAAAAAAACCCGATCGCAACGTTCTAAAGTTAACTGGGAGAGGCAGCAAAACTCTGCCCAAATACAGCAGTCAATGTTAGCGCCATATTGCCACCATTAAAGAGGACATTGACAGCCGTCCTTTCTGCTAACAATAGATGCTCAAATGGCTTTCTCAGGGAGCATATTTTGTAAAGTGGCTTGTGTGGGTGTTTGTTGGGAAATATCTGTTATGTCAAAACAAAATGTATCCTTCAGCTTATTTTTTTAACGAGGTTTAAGAAATGGACCCTTTGTGGAACATCACATATATTGTCAGACTACACTGCCCCAACTGCTAATTAGTTTTGCTGAAATGCTTTTTTTTCCTCTTCCTTCTTTTTTTAAAATTCTGTGTCACATTGGATGACTCTCTGGGGAAGAGAGAGAGGAGTGAAATATTCGAGGGGGGAAAATGGCATAAAAACAACAAAAATCAGCAAATTTTTAAAAAAACGTATCCTTAAACAACAAGGGACAACACCCAGAATTTTACACCATTAGGCCACCAGGGACACAAACAGGAAAGATCACTTGTGTGAGTTCTGTGTAAGATAGTCTTTTAGGCATTCAGACAACAAGCCCAGCGGAGCTGCACTCCCTGAGTCTGTGGATAGGTCCCAGGGCGCTGCCTGAGGCATAGGGAAGCCAAGCAATTTTTCCAGGGACCCGGCTGGTGAGTATCAGGCAGGATTCAAACCATGGTCTCCCTGTCTCCATGCTTAGCATCCCATGCACCAGGCCACACTGCCTCCAATAGTTTCACAGAAAATATCAATCTCTCTCGTACTGCAAGACCGATTCCATCTGAAACTGCCACAGCATTTAACTTAGTAAGCAAGAAATTAAATGGTTCAACATCTCTTGTGCACCAGAAGGCCCAGACAACCATCTGCCAAGAACCGAGTCAAGAGTAAGCTACCTTCAGTTTAAAGTTCTCCAGGATTTGTCGGAAAAGAAATGGGTTGCCACCTTCCGCAGCATTCAGAAACGCCTGCATCCAGTCCTCACAGAACCTGTTGCTTCCTGTAAAACATCAGGGAACAGTGAGAAACAGTAATAATATCTGGAGTCTCTAGAGCACTGAAAAGGTCTGCTCAACTCTTTATATATGTAAAATCACTTCAGCCTCATGACCACCCTCTGATATAAGTATTAGAGGTATGGTTATCTCCATTGCAGATAGGGAAACTGAGGCTTAGAGACACTTACATTGCCTACCTATGCCCCCCCCCCAACTAGAAGGGACCTCAGAGGTCCATCTTATTTCAACCTCTTATTTTACAGGTGAGGAAACTGAGACCCCCAAGTCACACATGTAGTAAACACCAGAAGCAGGATTTGAACCCAAGTCCTCCGACACTGCAGTATTTGAATTCAGGTCTTCCTGACTCCAAATGTAGTCCTTTATCCATCACACTCTGCTGCTTCCTTAGGCAAAGGACATTCCACCTAGGCTATTATATAATAATATAAATGTATATAAATGGAATGATAATATATTAACCTGCATTTTACACTTACAAATGTTTCATACATTGCTCTTATAAGTAAACACTGTTATTGTCTGAGATGTAAAACATTTTTAATTTTTTACAAATTCTTTCCCACAAAGCATGATTCACTGAGTAGGGGAATGAGGGAGGGAACCTATCTGGAAATAAAGGTGTTCTAAGAACAAAAGATACCAATAAAACTTTTTTTTAAAAATAAACCCCTGAAAAATTGAAGGTAGAGAGTAAAACTCAGTACGATCTGTTCTCACCCTATTATTATCCCATACAGCATGAACATTCAGTCTCAGAAATAAACCAACAAAGGATGCTTTAGAACATGCATCTCACCTGCGTTAGAAAACTGCGGCTGAGGCCCACTACAGTTTATAACCACTGACTTGTGCGGCTCTTCAGTCATAGCCATGCATAAGGAGGTCATCGTCCCCTCGTGAATAAGTCCTTGGAGACTAGCCACGCTCAGAAACCTGCCACAAAAGAGAGTTCCTTTTCCAAATGTCATTCCTGTTGCTGTTGTTGTTATCATTATGACTGGGTCTCCCTATCTCGCCCAGGCCAGAAGTACAGCTGACACTCACAGGTCTGACCCCACACTACTGATCAGCACTGAAGCTTAACCTGCTTTGTTTTTCCAACCTGGACCAGTTTAGGTGGCCTGGTGACACCCCCTTCCCCTCCTCAGGGGCTCACCACATTGGTGCAGGCTTTACTGTAGACACCTCATCGAACACTCCACCAGCCCTAGCCTCCTGAGCAGCAGGGACTACAGGTGTGCACCATCACACCTAGCCATGCATTATCTTTAAAGGGGCTCAAGGAGGAAAAATATATATTTTTTAAAGTAAAGGTCAACAATTATGAAGCAGGCTACCAAACTTCTAAGAAAAGTGATGTATTCAGGTGCAGAATGAGACATGCTACATTTTTAGACATGGCCAAAGTGGGAATTTGTTTTGCTTAACTATGCGTATAGCTTACAAGGGTATTTTGGGGGGGTAGTCGGGAGGAATGGGAAGAAGTAGTCATAAGGTTGCAAAAAAAAAAAAGATAAAGAAATGAAAGAAAAGAGAAACTGAAGCATTAAAAAAAAGTACACAGATGAAAGGTCCAGGAAAAAAAACAAATCACATACACACACGGACAGCTTTGAAAGTTACATAATGAATTTACAAGCAAGTTGTCTACAATAGAGATTTGCAGTTACATGAACAATTAAAAAGAAAAATACATAAGCAACACTCAAATAAATCTAGAAACTAAAAAAAATTTAAAAGCAACTTGTGAAAAAAGGTGTTTTCATAAAACTTTTAGCAATCTTTACCCATTAATGTCTCTCTTTGTTTTTTCATCTGATTCTTGAACTTCAACTGGAGTGTAACTCAAAGCCTTCGAGAGAGAAATTCACTGTCAGTATGTATTTGACTTGCTTTGGTTCAATCAGTCAATCGGCAAATGTTTATTAAGCACTTACTGTGTGCAGAACAAAGGGTTCTGCCTTTATGTGCATAGTCTAAGGGTTGGGAGAGATATAAAATCTGGATAACACCTATTTCTTCATGATCTTTAAAAAAATTGTTATAAATGTAATAACCATCAACAAAGACAAACAAAAGTAATGATAGCCAATAAGAAACAGAATCTTACAGAAGACCCTGATCAATAAGGTGGAACCTAAAAAATACATTCAGAAAACAAATAAATGAGTTTTCTCTGCGTCTTTTCCCAAACACACGTAGGGTTCCCTTCCCTCTGGATGGCTTTTTCAATGTTGAACTATCCTACGGCCATATGTAGCAGAGAGCACCCTGGCTCTGCTCATCTCACTTAATAACATCATTCTCTTCATCTCACTCACTCTATATTGGACCGGCTCTTGGATACATCACAACCTTCCCAAAATATTTGATTGGACGGTGCTCAACGAAGAGCAGAGGCTCAAATATTTAGAGCTGGAAGCGGCCTTAAAGAGCATTAGAGTAGTCCATTTGGCCTCATTTTGTAGAGGAAGACACCGAGGCTTGGGCGTAACTGGATGACTTGCCCAAGATCATGACAGACAGCACATGCAGAGCTGACATCAGAAGCCCCATCTTTGGATTCCAAATCCTCAGGTTTCCACTGCTCTCTCCAAGGTGCCGAACAAAGAGCATGGTACTCATCTTGAGGACTTGGTTTTTTTCAACTGTTGTTATACAGTAAAGATAAAGGTTCCTTATTTATCCAAGCCAGTATTTACCCCACACAATTACCTGGGTGGAAAATCCAGTCAATTATCTAGGTGATTTCAAATACACCTCATTGCCAATACCAAAACATCTAGATACCTACTGAATTTTCCAGTTTCCATCTGAATGTTGGGTGTCATTAAAGGAGGTTAGAGTAGCCAAACACTGGCTGCTGAGTTGGAGGACCTGGGTTCAAATCTCACCTCTGACACATACCACCTGTGTGACCTTAGGCAACTCACCTGGGTCAGAGTAACTTTATGTATAAAATAAGGAGTTGGTCTAGATGGCCTCTGAAGTCCTTCTGGCTCTAGAAAGAGCTATGATCCTCTGAACTCAAAGCATCTTGGATGCTTTTCTCCTCCTATCCCACTGCTTAGGGAAATAATTCTAATTACAAGTCATCTTAAAAAGTACCTAGGAGATTATTATTGTGAAATGATTTGTCCCATGAAGACGCCTCAACTGGCAACTGCCACTGACTGAATAACTGAACCAAGTTTCCAAGTGAACTGTTGACAGCTAAACTTGGGACCAATGGAAAAATAAAAGTGAGCAGTCTCTTCAAATCTTCCACAGAACTTCCCAACCGGCTCTCAATCAATGGAATGTCTGTGTTGATACTTACAGCATGCAGGAGAAAGGTAAGCTTCTCTTGAAAGAGATGCACGACTCTCTCAATTGGGCATACGGCCGCCTCAAACCAGTTGCTAAGGTAGGATTTGGTGCAGGCCTCCAGGCTACCTTCCTATATATACACGGAACAAAATACTATCATTTGACATTTTAACTAACATGGAATACTTTCTGTCTCAACATTGTTGATGGTGATAGATCCCATTTTAACCGAGATGTAATACTTTCTGTCTCAACATTGTTGACAGTGATAAGACTTGATGGATAAACACTTCTGAATTTTAAGATCAGAAAAAGAATGTTGACATATATCATTCCCAGAAAAGTAAGTTTTGTTAAGAAATTCCACTAGCAAAATAAAGCATTGAATGCAGAAGGCAGCTCAGGAGGGGACACTGACAAGTTGAACTGCTTTGATACTACAAAGTTCTGTTTAAAGACTGGTTTCCTCTTTCTGAACCAGGCTGGATGCCAGAGTTACTCACAGACCGGTTCCACTCTGATTGACACAGGAGCTTTGACCTGCCCTGTTTTCCGATCTGGGCCTTGTGTGTCCCTCTTAGGGAAACTGGTGGACCCCATTCCCAGAGGGCTCACCATATTAATGCCATGATTAGTGCACATACCAATCGGGCTTAGCTCACAACAGCACCGAACTCCTGAGCTCAAGAGATCTATACCAGTTTCAGCCTCCCCAGTAGCTGGGATTATAGGTATGTGCCACTGTATCTGGCTTCTAATCAAGTTAAATTTTTAATCATTTTAAATACACTTTAAAAACCCTAGTTGTATATAACAAAGATTTATGGTTTCATGTGTAATCCTACTTTTTTGTTGTTGTTTGTACAGTAAAATGTTCATAGCTGTTCATGTTTGTTAAGTTCTTAATTTTTAAAAAAATGTAAATGAAGAAAAAGGGCAAAAAAAAGGCCTAGAATGGAAACTACTGTAAACATTTTTTATTTCAAGTGATGAAATCTAAGGTGTTCACTGTCATTTCTTCACTGGAGAGAGCCACCACTCAAAGGAGAGGATGGGATGATTGTACAGGGGGTAACTGAGGATCGAGTCCAGCCTGACCAATCAGAATTGGAAGGGAACTGGGAGACTCACCAAGATACCAGAAGGTATATTCCCAATGCTGATATCCTGGTTCTGATACTCTCACATTTCCCCCAGAGACACTTATCTTCATGAAGGTCACCTTCCAAGAAGTACTGCCACTCAGTCAGCTTTAGGGTGGGAAGGCCACTGACCCACATCATTATGTTACAGGCCATCCTCGTCCAGGCCCTCTCCAGAGGATTTACAATCCATCCTACCGCATGGAACAGGTAATAAACTTATGGAACCTATCACCCAAAGAGGCGCTAGAAGCCAATGTTTCAAAAAAGGTTTAAATTCACGAATAGAACAGAGCCATAGAAGGGCTCTTAGGGAAGTGCTGGGATTCAGGTAATACATCCCCAGCTTGTGAGGGTGACAGCCGCAAGAGCAGTCATTTCCTTCTGCAGAGCGATCTCAGGGACTGATGGACACGGCCACAGGATCACAGCGGGGGCCCTGCACAGCAAAGCCAGCCTTCCACTGGTACGGCCCAGGTAGCTGAGACCCCTGTTCCCACCTCCTCAGTCATGATTCACATGCCATCTCAGTGAATGAACTGAATCATTAGCGTTTAGTTGGGAGGGAAAGCAGCAGAGCCATCGTCTGGAACCCACAGGCCGCTGGGTTTGCTTTGCCTCAGTAGTGAACTCCCTGCCTGCCTCAGAGCAACATGTATTTAGGATTCTTGTGGCCACCTGGAAATGTTCTGTAAGTAGAGGAGAACTATAACGCCCAATATTACTACTCTCCAATGCTTAAAAAGGATGAAGTCAGACTTTTTACCTCGCCATCCACTTTTGTCTTCAGGCCTTGGATGTATTTGTCCAACTCAAGTCTGAAAGTATGATCTTAAGGAATAATAATAATAACAAACAATAATAATGATAGCTAGCATTTATATAGCACTTTAAGGTTCGCCAAACACTTTGCAAATATTATCTCATTTTATCTTCACAACAACCCTGGAAGTTTGTGCTATTATTACTATTTTACAGATGAAGAAACTAAGGCAGACAGAGGTTAAGTGACTTGCCCAGGGTCACACAGCTAGTCTCTGAGGCTGGATTTGAACTAAGGTCTTCCTGACTCCAGGGCCAATGTTGTGTTCACAGTCACTATACCACCTAGCTATCTAATAATGATAATAATAATAACAATAATGATGATGATGATAGATAAACCAAGATGGCTGCTCTAAGCTTCCAAAATAAAATATAAAACCTCTCAGTTTATAAATACCATGAATTAAAACAATCCCCAAGAGTGGCCTTTGGGATATGACCAAAGAGGCCTAGTGGCTGCAGAGCCAGTGTGGAAGGTGGGGAGACCTGGGTTCTAGTCCTCCCTTTGGCACCTCCTACCCCGTTCCCTTAACCTCTCAATGTTGTCCTCAGCTCCCTCAGCCTGCAGGTTGTAGAGAAGGTGCTGACCTGATCCGGTGGAACCTTCCTCACCTGGGAGTTCCCTATACCAGTGAAATCACAGGTGCCCTTTACTATCCCTATGAGCAATAACACCCCTTGTAGCAGACACACTCAAGGAAAAAAAGAATTTAAAGTGAATTCAAAGTCAAAGAACTTGAACAGATAGTTTTAAAAATGAGGAAGAACAAACTGCTAATAATCACCCGAAAAAAATGCTCAACTTTACTATGAGATACCTCTTCACAGTCATTAGATGGGCAAAAAATAAATAAATAAAAGCCAAACACAATGCCAGCAGTATCATGAAGAAGTGGGTACACTCATTCATGGATGGTGGAATTGCAAATTTGTAGAATTTCTTGGGAAAGCAATCTAAAGGTATCAATCTGAAGGCAGAAAAAGTTACAAAAATAATCATAAATTTTGCCCCAATAATTTCACTGTTGGAAATATATCCTGAGAGTGTTATCAATGCCAAAAATAAGGAATTATCTATTCAAAGATTTTCATTAGCAACATTATATATCATTGCAAAAAAACTGGAAACAACCTAAATGTTGAACAATAGGGAAATGGTTAAATAAATTGTGCTATGTTCATGTAAAGAAATACTACAATGCAACTAAGATGGACAAGTATGAGAAATACAGAGAAATCTAAAAAGTCCTTTATGAAAAAAAAAAAAAGTAAAAAACCAAAACCAAGAGGAATAGAATACATACTAACTACAATCATATAAGGAAAAGTCAATAAATCTTTTATAGGGAACTTATACAATAACTACAGTAACATAAAGGAAAACAATTTACAATTCTCATCAATGTAGCTACTAATCATGACTTCAGAGGAATGATAGTGAAACATGTCTCCTGCCTCTTGACAAAAATGTGGTGGGCTGCAGATACAAAATGAGGTACATGTTTTCAGACACTGCCAATATATTGATCTGTTTTGCTTAATTTTACTTATTTGCTACAAAGGAGGGGCATTATCATTTGGAAGTGAGTGTTTAAAAAATTCAACATTAAACATTAATTAAAAATTTAACATTTTAGGGGCAGGTAGGTGGCGCAGTGGATAGAGCACCAGCCCTGAAGTCAGGAAGACCCGGGTTCAAATCCAGCCTCAGGCCAAACACTTGTCACTAACTAGCTGTGTGACCCTGGGTAAGTCACTTAACCCCAACTGCCCCCCCCCAAAAATTAACATTTTAAAAAAAGTGATTAAACATGAATTGCCAAAGAATCCCATTAGAAATTTAAGAAGAAAGGCCTAAAGGTGTTATAATATTGTATATGTGCTAAATTTAATTAATTTATATGTAAAAAATTTAGGTTAGTATTGATGTTTGCTTTCGATAAAAGATTTAATGAACCAATCAACAAGAATTTCAAAGTACCTTAATAGGCCAGAAACTGTGCTATTAATTTTAAAAATTAATAAAGCATCTGGAAGTTCTCACCAAGGACCCTCACTTTCCTCATCCATATCCCTCCCATCTGCCAGCAGCTACCCAAATCCCTAATGATTGGCCCAAGGGCCTAGGTAGGCAGTCAGGGCAAGGGAAGCTTTCATTGACTTCTCCATCCCCTCCCCAAGGCTACTTAATAAATACTTTTCCATTCCATTAATTAATCATATTAAATTTTAAAAAATAAAATGAATGAAAGGTTGTGGGAATGACATAGTGAAACTCTGGGGAAGGGGTGGGGTCTTGGGGAATGGAAAGTCAGTGGGAACCCATCTTTTTTATTCTCCTGACTTGGCCTTTCTGCCATCTTCAGAGACAAAGAAAAGGATATAGCTCAAGTCCTTTTTCAGAGCCCCCTAAGAAACAGACTATATATTCAGGAGGGTCAGGAACAGACTCTGCAGTTGCTGTTTCTATAAGTGGTTTGTCTTGCTGGAAAAGGCAGTAATAGCAACCAACCCGAGAATCTGGAAGACTGCAGGATAGGGATGAGGAGGGGGTGAAGAAAAAGGTCAAAGGGAACAGGCTGGTGACTCAACCTATGGTCAACATGCATCTAATTTAGCAGACAGCTCTCAAGGCTGCTCATCTTTATCTGTATCTACACTGAAACTCTGCCCACCTCCTTATCATGCCTTAAGTTAAATACTTGGAAGGGAAAGGTTAAGTGGATTGCTAGTATTAACTTAATTAACTAATTAAAGGGGGAGGAATGAGTCAAGCTTCACAATATCCTAGCTGCGATCAAGATGGGTCTAGACATGAAGCCAGCCAGGTACACATCAGCTAGGGAGATCTGGCCTTGGGGGAATTGCTTATCCCTTCCATCACTTAGCTCAGAAACAAAAACTCGCCCGTATCCCATGTCCTTACCTCAGCTCCACCGATGTAACGTTACCCAGCCCTTCAAAGACAGCTCCTTTGGACACACGCTTAGCGATGGCACTCCGGAGTTCTGGCTCTGCTTCTGATGGTAAATTAGTATCTACCAAGGAAAGGCTTTTGAAACAAACAAAATAGATATTCATGAGTGTATGTGTATGTATATGTGTGTACATTTGTTTTACATAAATAAATTTATTTATTCCTTGCCGACGGAATTCGGAATTTGCAACAATGAGCAGAGTCGAGTGTCTGATGAAGTCAGAATGACTCTGAGGGACAGGATTCATAGGACCATAGCCTTCGAGTTGGGACAAAGAAGTCATCAAACCCAAACTTCTCATTTTACATAGAGGCCAAATGAGGCCAAAGTCACACAGCTAGGATGTGTCTGAGGCAACATCCAAACCCAGGACCCCTGACTACTCTACCCACTGCTCCATGCTGTCTCTCTGCAAGGGAGTCTTATAACCCTTTTGCAACATGGACCCCCTGGGCAGTAATCTAGGAAAGTCAAATATGCCCCTTCTCAGAAGAATGTTTTAAGTGCCCAAAACAAAAAACACAGGATGAAAAAAAAAGTCGATTATACTGAAATGTAGTTATCAAAATGTTTTTTTTAAAAATTATAGATCATAAAAATAGGAAAAGGACCCACATGTACAAAAACATTTATAGCAGCTCTTTTTGTGGTGGCAAAGAATTGGAAATTGAGAGGATGCCCATCAATTAGGGAATGGCTGAACAAGTTGTGGTAAATGAATGTAATGGAATACTATTTTTCCATAAGAAATGATGAGCAGGCAGACTTCAGAAAAACCTGGAAGGACTTATATGATCGGATGCTGAGTGAAATGAGCAGAACCAGAAGAACATTGTACACACTAACAGCATCACTGTGAGATGACTGACTTTGATAGACTTTCTTCTTCTTAGCAATGCTAAGATCTAAGACAACTCCAAAGGACTCATGACAGAAAATGCTATCCACATCCAGAAAAAAGAACTATGGAGTCTGAATGAAGATCGAAGCATACTATTTGCTCTCTCTTTTTTTTTTTGCTTCTTCTTTCTCGTGGTTCATCCCATTGATTCTAAATCTTCTTTACAACATGACTAACGTGAAAGTATTTTTAATATGAATGTAAATGTAGAGCCTATATCAGATTGCTTGTGGGGGGAGAGGAAGGAGGGGGAGAAAAATTGCAACTCAAAATCTTACGGAAGTGAATGCTGAAAACTAAAAATAAATAAATTAATATTTTTTTTTAAATTTGCAAACTCTAGGTTAAAGACCCCTGCTCTAAGATGTTTACTTGGTGTTGTGGCAGTTAATTTGGTGACCACCTTCCATCTCACCATGCATGGAGGCAAAAGATAGTATCAAACATTTTGTCAACTGAGTTTTCTATTATGAAACAGGAAGCAAAAATCTCAAATTTGACTTCAGATGAAATTCAATTGTTTAAGTATCTGCCATGCACACCAAGTTCTGTGTTAGGAATTTGAAAAACAACACATACAAACCCTACTCTCAAGGACTTTATTATCTAATGGGATGGAGGGAGGGGAAGGTCATTTCCACAAATAACTACATGAAAAAGAGTGCTAAGCACTAAGGAGAATCCCTGGCAAAATGCTAGGGGGAAATCTGAGGAAGGAGGCATCATTTTCAGCTGCACGTGCCTGGGGACAGGCCTAGAATGAAGGGAAGGTGGTAGGCAAGTCTTTTGTAAGACACTGAGATGGGAAGGACTAGGGCAAGTAAAGGTCACTAAGATTTGTCCAGCTTACCTAAGAGGTAAAGTAGATGCAGTAGTGTGAGATGAGGCTGAAAAGACAGATAGGAACTCAACTGCAGTGGGCCTTGAATGCCAGGATTGGTCAGTCAGTCTACAATCATTTATTAAGCATTTAGTATATGCCAGGCACTATGGTTAATGCTGGGAATACATAGAAAAGGAAAAACACAGCCCTTCTCCTCAAGGGTCTTGTTCTCATGGAGGAGGTGCCCGGCAAAGAACTACATCCATACAAGTTATACACTGTATAAATGGAAAGTAACAGTGGAATGCAGGGGCTGGGGGAGGAGGAAGGGCCCCCCAAAGAAGGGGATACTTGAGCGGAGTCTTGGAGGAAGCCAGGGAAGGCAGGAGTCTGAGGAGAGGAAGGAAAGTATTCCGGTGCTGGGGAACAGGGAAGACCAATGCATGGAGTGTCAATGGTGAGGAACATCACAAGGGCCAGCGTGGGGGATCAGGAAATCATGTTTCATCAGGGAGGAAAAGGGGAGCCAGTGAAGATTTCTGAGCTGAAGAAACACGTGACCAAAGGGGTGCGTTAAAGATTACTTAGTGTAGGACGACAGACTGGACGAAGAAGAACCAGGTGGGAAGATGCTCTGGAGATTGGGGGAGAAGCAATGAGCACGGGAACGAGAAGGGATACTTCAGGAGTGCAAAGGGTCAATGGACGCTGGAGCTGAGGCCAGGTTGGGATTGACTGGACTTGGCAGGTGATGTGGAATAAGGGAGAAGGAACTCAAAGATGGTTCTGAATTTCTGAGCTTGGTGACTTCGAAGAAGGAGGTACCAAAGACAAAAATGGAGGAGTCAGGAGGGGGGCAGGTTTGGGGAGGGAGGGCAGCGGAATGATGAGTTCTGGAGAGGGAGGTGACATCGAGGTGGAGACATACATGGAAATATGAGACTAGAGCTATGGGGAGGTGAGGGAGAAGATGGAGATTTGGGAATCCCCTGTATGGTGCTGACAACGGCAGCCAGGATGAAATTACCAGAGAAGAGAATGCAGAGAAAGAAGAGAAAAGGCTTGAGAAGAGAACATCTTAAGGGACAAAGGGAAGAGGAGGATCTAGCAAAGGTGGCAGAGAAGGGACAGGCAGGGAGATGCAATGTCCCAGAAGCCAAGGCAGGAAAGAGGACCAAGAAGGAGGAGGGTCCACAGCACCAAATGCCTCAGAGACATGAAAGACAACACAGCAGGAAACAAAAAAAAAAACCAAGTCGCTGGATTTCACAAGAAGGTTACCACTGACCTTGGAGAGAGCTATTTCTGGAGAGCAGCAGGGACGGAAGCCAGATTACAATGGCCCAAGAAGTGACTACGTAGCGGGAAAGTGACGTTCACGGAAGACAAGAGACGACAGTCTGAGGGGAGTGGGCTCACGAAAGAATCTGAGGATCAAGAAGACGTGAATGTGTTTGTAGGCTGCAGCCAGAGGTGGGAGAAGGTAAAGATGCAAGACAGAAAGAGAATGCAGTAAGGTGATGGAGGTGACAGGAGGAACTCGGGCCAAAGGCAAATCAGGAAGGGTTGGCCAAGGGTCCTCTTCCTCTGAGCCTGGAGCAAGGCGGGAACAGAGCGGGCAGAGACCTTGGAGGGTTTAGAGGAGGTAAGTTCTGGGAGCTCCTGTCCCAAGAGCCTCAAGGCAGAGAGCGGTTCTAGCCTGGTCTTGTCACACGAAGACATAAAAAGAACATTCTACTCAAGTCTTCACGCTGTTATATAGGAATATATTCTCAATACAACGCCTACATCAGACCTGAGTTCAAATCTCAGGCCTGCCACTGACAGAGGCAGTAAAGTGGCACAGTGGGTAGAGCTTTGGACTTGGCGTCAGGAACATCTGAGTTCGAATCATCCCTCAGATCTTTCACAGAACTATGTGATCTTAGCCTCAGTTTCCTCAACTGTAAAATAAGGGGCTTGGGCTTTCTGGCCTTTAGGGCCCCTTCCAGCTCTAAATCTCTGATCTGTGTTACCTTGGACATGACAGCTCACCCTCTGAGCCCCAGTCTTCTCATTTATACAACAAGGGGACTGGACTAGAAGGTCTGAGGCTCTTTCTGACTCCAAATCTAGGATCCTAAGACAAAGGGTATGCAGCAAACTCCAGGTGTGGCAACTCCCTCCAGCAAGGCAGATCACAACCTTTCTTTGACCTGGTAGGTAAGTGCCAGGGACACGTGCCTGAGACACACTGTAGTGATGGCCCAGCATCATACAGAAAAGAGTGTGAAAAGCAGAACTATAAAATGATCTTTAAAACAATTCTGATAGGGAGGGACTGGGCATACAAATTCATTGATACAGGGGACTTTCAGGTGAGAAAAAGTCCCTCCACCAATGCAGGTTGACACTCTGTAATGTACAGCCTTAGTTGTCTGGAGCAGAATTGCCAAACACAAGGCCCAGGGCCCCATCCAGCATGGCCTGAGTGTGGCCTGAACCAGATAAAAATGTATTTGGGAAATATTTCACAAAATAAAAATATAACAAAACATAGACAATATTAATATGAGGTTTTCCACGTTAATACGTGGCCTGTAGGGATCCTAATGTATGGTTTAGTGGCCCCTGTTTCTACCTGAGTTAGACCCCTCTGGCCTTGGGGTCAAGGGGCTTATCCAGGGCCACAGCCCTCCTGGCTCCAAAGCCAGCTTCTACCATTGGGCAACACCGCTTCTCATTAATTACTTCTGATAGCAATGTTCATATATCATTTAAATCCAAATACTGGAATCTCATGTGTGTTCCCAGAAACTTAGAGAGAACAAACTCATGTCTAGTTACTAATGACACAAGCATTATTTGGACCTCCCACTGGACTGTGAGCCCCTCCAGGTCAGGGACTGATTCTGGCCTGCCTTTGTTCCAGTATGGTGCTGGGCACATAATTAGCACTTAAAAAGTTTTTCCAGCTGGACCTGCCCAGTTCTCAAATTCACAATATCAGAAAATAGATGTCTAGGTTCTCATGAGGAGGGTGGATTTATATGTCTGACATACGAACTACTCAATGAAAAATCAGGTTTGCTGATCGCTACAGGTCAGAGCTCGCACTAGAGATGGGAAAACAGATGCTGGCTTTACCTGAAGTCTGCACCAGGAGGAGTTTCCAAAGTCAAGCTACTCGGATTTCCATCGTCACTGTCTCCACGTTGCGTTGGTGATCTGCAAACCATGGGATTATTATGGTCGTTAATCACAGAAATCTCACCACTGCAGGGGTCACACAGGAAGGGGGAAGGCTGGGGAAGAAGCTAGTCAAAGGGGAAATCGGCTAGAATGTAAGGAGAGAAAGCCAGTGACGGCAGCTGCCTTTTTTTAGTGATGGAAAAGATAAACTCCAAGTAAAGACATGATGACAGACAGTTCATTCAAGATCTGACTCCATAAATCCTTGGAGCTGGATAGAAGCTTAAAGATCACCTGATACCAACCCTCAACTTTCCAGACAAAAACCTAAGGCCCACCCAGGGGAAGGGACACACCCAAGGTAAAGAGTTTAGTTATCTGTAGTATCCAGGAGCTCTCTCATCTGAAAGGAAGCCTATACCTGCAAACCCACAAGCTAGGTCCACTTCAAGACCCCAAAACTCTGTAGGGGCAGCTAAAAACAAATAAGGAGGGGGCAGCTAGATGGCACAGTGGACAGAGCACCAGCCCTGGATTCAAGAGGACCTGAGTACAAATCCGGCCTCAGACACATAACACTAGCTCCGTGACCCTGGGCAAGTCACTTAATCCCAATGCCTGGCCAAAAAAACAAGACAAAACAAAAAAACCAATAAAAACAAATAAGGAAAGGGGAGACTAATACAAACGATAGAAAAAAATTCTTAACCAAACAAGGGAGAGATCACAAAAGATAAAATAGATAATTCTGACTGAATTAAATTGAAAGCTTTTACAAAAACAAAATCAATGCAGCTAGGGTAAGAAGGAAACAAGTTTGTATCCCCATCTTTGACAAAGGTTTGACATTCAAGATATATAGGGTATCCCAAAAATCTTAGTGGAATTTTAAACTTCAATAGCCAAAAGTGTCATTAAGACTTTAGGATATCTTTTATAGAAAATTAACATGTCTAAGACTGAGATCTATTTTTCCCTCCCCCTCGCTAGATAAGTGGTCAAAGGATATGAACTAACATTACTCAAAAGATGAATTGCAAACTATTAACAGTCATGTGTAAGACTGCTTCAAGTTACTAATAATACAAGAAATGGAAATTCAATAAATTCTAAGGTTTCAAGTCATCCACCAAATTAGCAACGATGGAGAATAGAAATAGTGTTGGAGGGGCTATAGGAAGACAGGCACACTAACTGTAGAGTTGTGAACTGATACAACCTTCTGAAAAGCAATTTGGAATTATACAAAGACCTAGAGATTCTACCATGAAGCATGTACCCTCAGGAGGTCAAGACAGAAAAAAAAAAAAAGCTGACTATTTGTCAAAACATTCCTAAAAGCATTTCTTTGGTAGCAAAAAGCTAAAAGCACAAGACGGTCCTACTGATTTGGGAAATGGCTAAAAAACACAGTGACATATGAATGTAATGCAATATTACTGTGCAGTAAAAAATCACAAATATGAAGATTTTAGAAAAGCATGGCAAAACTTATATGAACTGATGTGGAATGAAAGAAGCAGAACCAGGAAAACAATACATACAGTAACTACCATACTGTAAGCAAAATGAATCACGAACAAAACTGGACAATATATAATTATAATGACTGATCTTGGACTCAAAGAAGGGTTGAGAAGATGTGGAAAGGTCAGGGACTGGAGGTATAGAACGCTGCTTATACTGTCAGATGTAGGCATGCAATGGAATCAGCTGTTTTTCTGAATTTTTTTTTCTTTTTCTTTTAATCTTTGTTTCAAAGGAAGACTTCCAGGTAGAGAAGATGAAGTATATATTCAGAAATGAAAGTGATGCAAAAATAAATAAAACAATAATAAAATCCTAGCCACTGGAGAGCTGGTAATCGTTCCAGAGAGAGAGAAAATTGAGGGAATGGGAGACAGGAAAGGGGAGGAGGCAGTGGCAGAGATAAGGAAGATTGGGAAAAGAAAGATCAGGTCAAAAAAGAGAGAAAGGCAAGGAGGAAAAAGGGCAGATGACAAAAAGGTAGGAGGCCAAAGGCAGAAAGAGAGGGAGAAACTGAATTCAGAGTACAGAGTTGAGTGTGTCAGGATGGGCTGAGGCAATGATCAGGGGAAAGGATGGAGGAAATAACTGGGATGCTGACCACAGGATCATAGATTTAGAGATGGAAAGAACCTTTGGGGTAAGAAGATGGAGCAGATGACAAGGACAGAAATGAGGAGGTGGGGAGAATGAAAGGAGAAATGGTGTGAATGAGAGGACAGAGAAGGGGCACTGGGCTAGAAAGGGTTTTGCTCTTCCTTGTATCCTCCCAGGGATCCTAGCCCAATACATCTCATCCATCTATTAATTCCTGGGCCCACACAGCAGGGCCAGATGCCCACATTATCCCCTCTCTCACCACAACTTGTCACCTCCTACTCAAGAAATAATAATCAAATCAAGATGACCATTGCTACTGGTCTACATGCGCCTCCCCTTCAGTCACACTACAAGCCAAACTGGCCTTCTTGCCATTTCTCACACATCTCATCTCCTCCCTCCCTCCCCCTGCACAGGCTGTGTCCCATGCCTGCCCCGAACTCCCTCCCCATCTCTACCTTAGAATACCTGGTTTCCTTCAAGACCCAACTCACGGGCTTTCTCTGTGAAGCCTTTCCTGATCCATCACCATCAGCTACTAGCACCCTCCTGGTCCATTTAAGTGATACTGACTTTGTATATCCTTATACACGGACAGATTATCATTTCCTATAGATTCTAAGCTACTTGAGGGCTAGGGCTGCCTCCTCACCGTCTTTATATCCCCAACAAACACCACCATGCCTGTACCCAGCTAGCACCAAATACACGCTTGGTGATTGACCAGGTACTGGATAATCAACTACTCTGTAGCTCAACTCAGAACCCCAGGCTGCCTAGACCAAAGCTACCCATCCCTCGTACCCATCCATGTCAGCCACATGCCTTCTGGGTCCCCACCCAACTCTTCCCTCCCCATCCATTGTGCTCTAGAGAAGCTGAGTTCTACTTTTAACAACTGTCCAGCACATTAGATCTGCTTCTTTCATGCCAATCCTATATCCGTGCAATCCTCAAAACCCGGCCGTCCCATGAAAACACTGCATCGCCAAGCAGGGTTGTGCCTTCCACCACACACACTCTGTGATGGCAGAGGGGCAGGAATGTTTCTCGCTCCTCCCTGAAGCTCCCAGGCCCTCCCCTCTACCACCTACAGTCAGTAACCTCTCCTCCTGAGATTTCCCTCATTCATATATGACATTCTATCCAGTTCCTGGTGGCACCTCAATCTCTCTCCTTCTCGGGGAGTTTAGTACCTAGCTCACAGTCTCCCTCCTAACGCCAACCCCTGCCCTTTTACCTGGGGATTTCAATACACATGTTGTCCTCACATACCCTCATCTGTTTGTCCTTTGTCCACATCACCCACCATCCATCCTCCTCTCCTCCAGTCCTGAAGGTTGAAGAGGCCCTTCCCGATGAAGCCAACCCCTCTATTTATGTCCTGGGCCCATCTCCTCCTGCAGCTTGCTGCTTTGATCATTCTCTCTTCTTAATTTTCCATTTCTCCTTATTCACTGGTTCTTTCTCTACTGCCTTCAAACACGCCTAGATCTCCCCCACCTTCGTTGTTTCAGAAGCAACTTCCTCCTCACGTCCTTACCATTCACACGATCCCCCACCATTCTTAATATTTCCTCCCTTTCACAGCCAACCTAGGAAAAACACTGTCTGTTGCTTCCTCTTCCTCACTCCCTCTGACTGCCTCAAACCCTGCAGTCTGGCTTCATCCCCGCCACTCTCTCCAAGGTCATCGGCCACCTCTTTGCTGAAAAATCCAACGGCCTTTTCCCACCTCTTTGGAGCATTTACCACTGTTGATCACCTCCCCCATCCCCCACCCCTTTCTGGATATTTCCTCATCTTCCCGGGTTTTCCTGACCCTGCTCTATCCCAAACCTCTTAATTCCCTTTCGACAGGTTTTCCTTAGACTTCTTTGCAGGGTCATCATGGATGTGGGTGTATTCTAGGGTAAGTGTGCACACATGTGTGTTAAGTATGGATCTCACATATAAATAGGCATGAGTATACAATCATGCCAGTTTATGTGCATGTATACATGTGTGCATGCGTGCATGCATGTCTTGTTATACATGCCCATGTATGTGGTACATGTGTTTATAGAGGATTTACACATATGTTATGTGTGTGCTAGCACGACTGTACCCGTGGTGTGTGCATCATGTAGATGTGTGGTGTGTATATGTGCATACCTGTTTGTATTGCATGCATGTCTTGCCAAATTTGCATGCCCTGAGTGTAGGGAGCATTAATGATAGACATGGTGATGTGTATGCATACATGTCTCATTACATATATGTAAGTGTGATGTGTATATATATATGCATGCACACTTTTATGTATGCAGCCTTGTTATGCATGCCTATGTTTTGCATGTATGTGTGCATGTCTCATTACACATGCGTTGCCATTGACTGTACATGTGGTGTATGTGTGTAGATGTGTGGGGTGTGTATGCATGTTTGTATTGCATGCATGTCTTGCTTCGCATGCCCTGAGCGTAGGGAGCATTAATTACAGACACAGTAATGTGTGTGCATATATGTTTCATTATGTATATGTAAGCATGAATGTATACACGTGGTGTGTGTATATGTGCCCGTACATTTTGATGTTGCAGGTTTGTTATGCATGCCCATGTTTTACATGTATGTGTGCACGTCTCATTATGCATGTGTTGTAGGGGCAGGGTGGGTGCACTCGAGGTGTGTCTGCCTATGTGTATAATAATAAATTATTATTATTATTATTATAGGTAGAAGTTATAGAATGCTTTAAGCATTTTACATTACCTCATCTGAACCTTCCAACAACCCCGACAGGTGGGTGCTATGATTAAGCCCATTTTACAGAGGAGGGAACTGAGGCACGGGGGGGGGGGGGGGAGTGACCTGAAGCCCAGCACTTCCTGACGCCCACACGCGCTCCCTCTGCCCCGCCCCCGTGCGTGCGCGTGCCCCGCGCGTGCATGCGCGCGGCCTAAGCCGGGGAGGGGCAGGCCCGAGCCCTGCCCCGGGGCCGCACCTGCTTCCGTGGTAGGCGTAGAGGCAGAAGTGGCTGCTGGGCGGCCGTTCGGGCCTCCGGTCCTCCACGCTCCCGCCGCCGCTTCCGCCGCCCTCCTCGCTGCTCTCCAGCTCCTTGTCGTCCCCGTCCAGGGATTCCTGCAGGGAGGGCAGCATGTCCGCGCGCCGGGGCCGGGCCGGGCCGAGCCGAGCCGAGCCGAACGGGGCCGAGTTGAGCCGAGCCTGGGGCCCGCGCCTGCGTGCAGGGGATGGGGGAGGAGCGCCCTGCGCGCTGTGTTCCGCCCTACCGCTCCCCCTGCTGCCGTACGGTCCCAATGCACAGCTCCGCCGCGCCCTCTCCACCACACACTTAGTTCCGTGAACGCGAATGTCCCGCGGGACGCGAGAAGCAAACGAGGGACCTGACTTTTTCCATTTAGTGGATGGAGAGCGCGGCGGCCTTGGGGTGAGCAAGAGCGTGGATTCTAAAGCCGCCTTCCCGGAAGAGGCATCTCGTCGTCTCCCAGGGCTTCAGTTTTATCATCTGCCAAAAATGGGTCCGAGACCTATTCACCCTTCGTTCCACGAATCTCAGTGTAAAAGGGGCTTCATCCCATTTCCAGGCAGAGAGCTTCCCAGGGCCAGATAATCCCTCATTAGCCACTTAATGCTACAAATAAATTTTAATTTAATTAAATTGGCTTTAATACTGGAAGGGACTTTGTTCTTGTTGTGCCCCCAAACAAAACAAAACAAAACAACTGGTGTGCTGCCATCCTACAAATACGGACGCAGCAACATCAATTTAAACACACCGCCAGTTTTAGCTTCCCTGCCACCCAGCCTGGTATCGTGGAAAGGCCCCTGGACTCATAGTACTCAGTTAGAGACTGGGTGTACTGGTTAGTGGTGCCCGGTGTCAGGTTCCTTATTTACAAAATGAAAGAATGAGATTAGATGATCTCCAAGACCCCTTCCAACCGTAAAATCTTGGTGGCCCTAGGCACATCACTTCATCTCTCAGAGTTCCCTCATTTGTAAAGTGGAAATAATAATAACTGTGCCATAGGAATGTTATGAAAATCAAATGAGACAGTTTATGTAAGTGTGATGGAGTAATCATTGCTGAATGGAACGTTCACGAGAATGGAAGATCTTACAGCCGGACATGATCTGGACTCTGCTAGAAGATGTGCCTTGGGTATCAGGGTGCAATCGCTTATTGGTCTGTCGTCTACCTCATGGGGGGGTGGGGATGGAGAGAGGCTTGACAGTGCTCTGAAGGGCATGCCTGACCAGATGCTCCTAAGCTGTCCCTGAGATGAGAGTAGAGGAAGAAGTGCCACTGACCCAGGAAAACTGGTCCATTTGGTGGACTTTAATCTGTGTGTACCTCTGATTCTCTCTCACCCCCACCTCCTTTGCTCCCTATCTTCTGGCTCCCTTCCCCTACCCCAGCACCCCAACAGGGCGCTAGGGACTTGGTCTCTCCCCTGGTTCCAGTGAAGAGGTGGGGAGAGATCCTTCTACTTACCTCTTCCGCAGCAACAGTGGTGCCTGTATATTACATGGCAATGGGAATATATGATACTTGTCTAATTGAGTTTGAGACTGGATTCCCTAGCTACCTCTTCTGCTTTGTGTCTCTTTTCCTGAGCAGAAAACAGTGGTCTTAAGGGATGGAGGTTAGGAATTTTTGGGTCCAAGTGCTGATTGTACAGCATGAAGTGATCTCCACAGCAATACTAAATATAGTGTGGGAAGAGATCTAGATTTGTAAGTGACACAAATAGTGCAGGTCAGAAGTGGCTATCAGTCACACAAGTCTCCCTTGATGTTTTGCTTTCATCTCTGTCCGGCTTTGTCTAAACAATTTACAAGTCTGGATCTCCTGGAAAACTATACTCTGGCTTGGGCTTTCTTAGTCCTTTAATCCCACTACTGTGAAACCAGTGATCTATGTGGCAGCTTTTCATTTGAAAAAAAATTACTTTAAAAATGTTTTATTGATGCCTTTTGTTTTTACATCATTATCATTTCCTTTATTAAATCCTCCCTACTAACAAAGAAAAACAAGCATAAAAGTCTCCCACAGAGACCGGGACTAATAATGTCTATAATATTCTGTCCTTGTAGGTCCCAATCTGTGATGTAAGGAAAATCGATATGTTTCATTATCTCTTGTATTGAGAACTCTCATGACTTATTCTACTATTCAGACTCCAATTTCCTTTCTGTGATCCATTTACATTGTTGTAGTCATTGTTTTTGCCTATTTTGTCTGCATCAGTTCATACAAATCTTCCCTTTATTGACCAATACATGGTCAGTTTTTGTAAAGGTGCCATATACAGCTTTTGTTGTTCAGTTATTCAGCTGTGTCTAAATTCATGACCCTGTGCACCATACTGTCCATGGGTTTTCTTGGCAAAGGTAATGCACTGGTTTTCCATTTCCTTCTCCAGTGGATTAAGACAAATAGAGATTAAGTGATTTGCCCAGGGTCATACAACTAATGTCTGAGGCCAGATTTGAACTCAAGTCTTCTTGACTCCAGTCCCAGCACTCTATCCACTGAGCCATCTAACTGCCTCCTATGTACAGCTGAGAGATATATGAATTCCATTTTATTTCCATTCATTAATTGCCAAAAAGCTATCATCTCTATTCCAAAGTTCTAGTCAGGTACTTAATTTCTTATTTTTTGCTTAGATTTGTTTAGGTCTGAAAGGGGTCCATTAAGTTCCCCTATTGTTATAGTTTTACTATCTACTTCTTCCTCTAATTCAATTACAATTTCCTTTAAATATGTATATGCTATGCTATTAGGTGAATATAAAGTATTGTCTCTCGTTGATTCATTATCTTAAAGGCATTCATTATGCCTTTAAGCATAATTAAATTTCCCTGTATCTCTTTTTATTTTGTCTATAGTCATACAATTCTTCCTATGTTTCTCCAAATTCCTCATTTCTTTCTGCATAATAACATTTAATTGTGTATAATTATACATAGTTTGCTTTCAGCCAGTCCCCATTCAATGAACTCCTATTTTGTTTCAATTCTCTGTTGTCACTAAGGATACTTTTATGAATGGGCAGAGGTAAAAGGTAACCTGAGAGGTAGCCACCTGTTTGATCAGCTCTACACAGCTTTCCTTCGTAACAGAACAAGCCTAGCCCTAAACAAAACCATGAAAGAGGCAAGGCTTGTCCAGGGTGCCCTCCCTTCCAGCACTTCTGCCCTTGTCTCTCAGGTTCCTGCCTGAGCTGACTGGCAGGCTGAAAAACTAAGGATTAGCTTATCAATGGCCATGGCCCTTCAGCCTCAGTGTAGCTGTGTAATCTGTGGCACTTTTAAGAACTCCAATTCCTATATTAGGAGAGTATATTAGAGAAGACAATGCTTTTAATGAATCTGAGCTTCTCTGCAATTCTGTATGGCGGTGTTCTATGGAGAACCAAAGTGATGGGTCACCCAAGAAAAGCTCCATGGAGGAGATGGCACCTGACCTGGGCCTTGAAGGCAGGTATGCCTTCTGAAAGGCAGAGATGAGGAGAAAGTGTATTCCAGGCATGGAACAACTTGTACAAACACCTGGAGGCAGGAGATTGCATATTGAGCTCAGAGGACAGTTGGTAGTCTGGTCTGGCTGGAGCATGAGGTGCATGAAGGAGAAAACTGGAGTCATAGTAGAAAGGGCTATAAATTCCAGGCTGAGGAGTTTCTATTTCATCCTAGACAGATATTTCCTAATAAGGATTGTCTATGTCCTAGTAAGGAATTTTAAGAGGTTTTTGAGGAGCTGCATGATATGGTCAGATTTGTGCTTCAGAAAGATTATTTTGGCAGCTGTGCTAAAAAGATGGGCTTGAGAGAGATCAGTGAGGAGGCTATTACAGTAGTCTACAAGTTGGTGATAAATGTCTCCAAATATTTATCGGCAAAGTAATCAGGGAGGGTGTTATTAACCCTATCTGGCAGGTAAGGAAACAGGTGTGTGTTAAGATGGGGAGGTGGGGGGGGTGGGGAATGCTCCTGCCCGAGGTCTCAGAGGCAGTAGTGGTGGAGTGAAAAAAGAACAAGACTTGGAGACAATTAGATTTGTACACAAGTGGCATGACAAGGCATTGGGTTCCTCATTCCTCAGGTTCTTAAGAAAGAATTGGATAGCCACTTGCTAAGGATGTAGAGAGAGTTCTTGCTTAAGCAGAGGGTGAACTAGATGATATCCAGGTCTGTACCTGCTCTGATCTTAGATTCCATAGTAGGGATGAGTAGGATATACTATGTTACCAACAGAATCTTGGTGAGATAGAAAGATGAGAGGTACCTTAAGGGCAGCTGCTCCCTTCCTGGTCTTCTTAGCACAGAAAATACAAAAGGCTTAGCAATGACCAGAAGGGGAAACATAAAAGAACCTGTCACATGGTAATTTTTTTCAATGACTTTATTTATTTTTAGTTTTCAACATTTACTTCCACAAGATTGAGTTCCAAATTTTCTCCCCATTTTACACCTCCCCCACCCCATGACGGCATGCATTCTGAATACCCCTTCCCTTAATCTGCCTTCCCTTCTATCTCCCCACCCCCTTCGCTTATTCCCTTCCCCTTCTATTTTCCTGTAGGGCAGGATAGATTTCTATACCTGTATATTTTATTGCCTGTATATATCTTATTTCCCAATTATATGTGAAAACAATTTTTTAACATTCTTTTTAAAACTTTGGGGTCCAGATTTTCTCTCTTCTTCACTCCCCACCCACCCTCATTGAGAAGGCAAGCAACTTGATACAGGTTATACATATGTAGTCATGGAAAATACTTCCATAGTAGTACATGGTAATTTTTTAAACTCTTTTTTTCAATTAATGAGTGTTTTTTTCTTTCTCTCCTCTCTCCCAATGGAAAAAATAAAGAAAGCAAACAAAACCTTCCACAAGGCAATTTTGCAGAAAAAATATCTGAAGAACAGCTCCCTGTTCCCCAGTTTCCAGCTTTCTTGAGCAATCCTTGCCCCACAACCTTCATGGTTGCAACAGCAGAGTCAACCCTTTGGCAGTCTACCAGAAGAATCCTTCCAATCAGATATATTGGCTCATTTGTAATTCTGTGCTCACCTGCTTTAAAACTAGGACAGAGGAAGAGCCTTGTGCTTTGGTCTCTTGGCCCAGGCAGCCCTTAACAGAAGGAAACAGAAGGAAACAAACCAACAATGGAATGAGTGAGAAAAAATGCACAAAAGAGGCTGCCAAGGATCTATGTAATGCCCCCATTTCAGCAGGGTCTTAGGGGCTCCTCTGTGATCAGCTCTGGCTGAGGGCATCAACTTTGGAACCAAAGAAAATCTGTTACCTAGAGGCGATTGGCATTCAAAAAATGGAATCAAAGGTAGAGGATAGGCCCAGTTATGGTGGCCACTCAGAGTCTCCCTGTGTCAAGGTCCCAACTGGGCAGCTTCATACACTGAAGGACACAGACCTGGGCCAGCCCTGATGGTCTCAGAGAACAGAGAACAGTCAGCAAGGGCTGGGGTAGGGGTACATCTTATTAAACTCGGCCTTAAGGAGGAAAAAGACTGGAAGTTGCATGTTTTCAGCAAGGACACCATAGAAAAATCATAGAAAAAATAGCAGAAGGCTAAAGTCAGACAAAAAACGATTAAGGGGGAAATGAAAGGGGAAAGTGGGAAGCCCTCCCAGTAAACAAATACATTGCAACAAAGGAAATGAGTCAAAATCTCCTGAGAAAGGTGAAAATATTACAAATTCTGCAAAAAAAAAAAGACAGTGAAGCATCAGAGTGATTCAGCAGAGCAATAAAAGAAGGAAATGAAAATATCAAGCAGTCTTAAGGAAGAAGTCAGCAAATTTAACTAGAGATTAAAGAATATAAAAGAAAAGACAGACATACTTTCCATAACAGTGGATTTTCTGAAAAACAAGCAAACAGAATTGGAATGTACAAATGCAGAAACAGAAGAAAAAACAATGGAACACCATTTTAAAAATAGCATCACAAGAACATATGAGAACTATACCAAGCAAGAATACTATACTTGAAGATGGGATACAAAAAGATAAGATAAGGATTACAGGTCTTCCAAAAGTAAGTCACCAAAAAGAAAAACTGAAGAACATGCTTCTAGAAATAACAGAGGGGCAGCTAGGTGGCACAGTAGATAGAGCACTGCCCCTGGAGTCAGGAGAACCTGAGTTCAAATCCAGCCTCAGACACTTGACACTTACTAGCTGTGTGACCCTGGGCAAGTCACAACCCCATTGCCTAGCAAAAAAAAAAATAACAAAACAAACAAAAAGAAATAATGGAGTAAATTTGCCTAGAAATACAGGAAGCAGACAACAAGGAGATCCAAAGAATGCACAGAACACCCAAAGAAAGATATCTCAGGGAACATTATACCAAATTTTAGAATTGTAACACCAAAGAACCTGGGAGACTATAATAAAGGAAATGGGTTTTAGTTTTAAATATGTAACAATGTATGCTTATGAATCTTTAATGTTTTAGGCATTTCTTTTGTAGTAGAGAAAATAAATAGTTGCCCTGTACTGGGTATCTACTACTTTGTACATTGAGTAACTTTTCAGGAGGGACTCCCTTTTGGGGAGAGCCTAGATATGAGTCAAACCTATTAGGAGATTTTCTTGGAATAATTCCATGTGAGGGAATAATGATCCAGAGAATGTTGGAAGAAGCCTGAATTCCTTCTTGTCAAGATCAAGCTCCCCCAGTACAGAACCTCGTTCTCAAGAATCCAGAACTGAAGCCTCTGCCAGTGACATCTCAAGGTTTTCCAGCAAGTCAGCCATGCATGACTCATCCTCCTGGTACTGGTCATCTCATCCTCCAAGAGTGCAATTGCAGTGTCTCCACTGGGCACCAAAAGATGCCAAATGGATTAGTTTACTCCCCATACTGCCCAAGTCTAGAATTAATCTAGGAGATAAAATGAGATATCATTCAAAAATGTTGAACTAGAGAATCTATATGTAGTTCTTCCTTTGGGCTAACCCTTACTCCTCCCAAACTGTTGTGATTTGGGGTGCTAGGAGCACCGATGACATAGTTTGGGGTTGCTGGGAACTCTGAAACGTAAGGGTACAGGGCAAGTCTTCCTGGAAAGAATTCAACCACTCAAGCCTTCTTTCAGTCTGAGTACAGAGCTTTATTGTAATGCCAATAAGAGCAGGCTAGATTGCAAGTGAATCTGCAGCTTGATGAGGATGGGACAGA